CCAACTGGAACACGGACTACCAGGAGGTTCTCTCTCCAATAAACTGCACCGCCTGCCATTATTTTCATCAGATTTACAGTTACAATTGCATTCTAGGTGTATTAGAAGATATTCAGTTGCATTAAAAGCTTCCTCGTGATGGTTTTGATGGTTTATTGCATTAAAATATATCTTTTTTTATCAGGCGAAGATTAAAATATCAGATTTTTTCTTTATTGCATCTCCATGTAGTCTGTAAAATTAAAATAAATATATTAATATACAATGGATTTATATTCCTTAGATTCTGACTTTTCAAAGGAGACCAGAATTATGCATCTAGGCCAAATGGTTGAGGATTTATTCCTGATTCATTTTGGGTATGTTATTTTAGGCGTTTTTTTGGGGAAAAGGTGCCTGTTTTCTTAAGAATTAATATAATTTAAACAGGTGAGTTATAAAAAAAAACCTCACAGTTGTCATGAAGGGCAAAATTAGCTATATACACTAAAACCATTTTTTGAACCAGGCTGTAAACATATTTTATTCTGCTGTAAAGTTGGGCATTTTAACATGGAGATTGAGTCCCTTCTGCAGCCAGCCTCAAGTGGCCACTTGATGAATTGCAGTTTTAGCTATTTCCTGTATGTTGTCACCGATGAAACCAGAAGTTTGCAGCTTGATGAGAAAGCATCCAGGAACTGCTACCTCTACTGTACACACACACAGACAGACACACAGTATCTAACTTTGGCATTAAAGGAACCGCTCTAAGCTGGTTTAAGTCCTATTTATCAGATCGATTTCAGTTTGTACATGTTAACGATGAGTCCTCCATGCACGCCAAAGTTACTCATGGAGTTCCTCAAGGATCTGTCCTTGGACCAATCCTCTTCACTTTATATATGCTTCCTTTAGGCAATATTATCAGGAAACATTCCATAAGCTTTCATTGTTATGCAGATGATACTCAGTTATATCTATCGATCAAGCCAGATGAAACTCATCAGTTAGCTAAACTTCAAATGTGCCTTCAGGATGTTAAAACCTGGATGACCTGTAATTTTCTCATGTTAAACTCAGATAAAACTGAAGTTATTGCTCTGGGGCCTAAGCACCTCCGTGACGCATTATCTAAAGATATAGTTTCCCTGGATGGCATCGCCTTGGCCTCCAGCACCACTGTGAGGAATCTTGGAGTTATCTTTGATCAGGACATGTCGTTTAAGTCTCACATTAAGCAAATTTCAAGGACCGCCTTTTTTCACCTACGTAATATTGCGAAAATCAGGAACATCCTGTCTAAAAATGATGCAGAAAAACTAGTCCATGCATTTGTTACTTCTAGGCTGGATTACTGCAATTCCTTATTATCAGGCTGCTCGAAAAAGTCCATTAAGACTCTTCAGCTGATCCAGAATGCTGCAGCACGTGTTCTGACAGGAACCAGGAAAAGAGATCACATTTCTCCTGTTTTAGCTTCTTTGCATTGGCTTCCTTATCTTAAAGAGCTCATAGTACCTTACTACCCCACCAGAGCACTGCGCTCCCAGAATGCAGGGTTACTTGTGGTTCCTAGAGTCTCCAAAAGTAGACTAGGAGCCAGAGCGTTCAGCTATCAAGCTCCTCTCCTGTGGAACCAGGTTCCAGTTTGGGTTCAGGAGGCAGACACCATCTCCACATTTAAGAGTAGGCTTAAGACTTTCCTCTTTGATAAAGCTTATAGTTAGGGCTGGCTCAGGTAGTCCTGAACCATCCCTTAGTTATGCTGCTATAGGCCTAGACTGCCGAGGGATTTCCCATGATGCACTGAGCTCCTCTCTCCTCTACTTTCTCTCCCTCTGTATGCAACCTTATCCCATTATTGCATGTTACTAACACAACTTCTCCTCTTTCTGGTAGTCTTGTGCTTTCTCGTCTCTCTCCTCTCTCCTATCACTTCCTGCAGGTTTTCTGGCTCTGGAGCTGTGGAGTCTGGAGCTGTGGCTGCGGGTCACCTGCTGCCCCCGTGTTCCTGCTCGACACCCTCTACTGCAACGACTATTGTTGCTAGTCTTATTGTTATTATTGTTATTATAATCATTAACATTACGATGGTTACCATTAACACTATTATAAATATCTGTACCATTTTTCATTTAGTCTATAGCAACATTACCTTCACTGTGTGTACCTCTGTGTGTATATTGTGTAGGCTGCCTCCCTCCCCTCTCTCTCTCCTTACATCTCTCTCTCCTTACATCTCTCTCTCTCACCCCAACCGGTCGAGGCAGATGGCCGCCCACCCTGAGCCATGGTTCTGCTCGAGGTTTCTGCCTCTTAAAAGGAAGTTTTTCCTTGCCTCTGTCGCCTAGTGCTTGCTCTTGGTGGGAACTGTTGGGCTTCTGTAAATAACATCACAGAGTACGGTCTAGACCTGCTCTTTTATGAAAAGCGCTGTGAGATAACTGTTGTTGTGATTTGGCGCTATATAAATAAAATTGAATTGAATTGAATTGAACTTATCTCTCCCCTTCTCCCGCAGTCATTGATCCACCACACTAACGTTAGTGAATTTAGCGAGTTCTAGATACAATTTGATACACCAACAATCCCATTAGGTTATTTCAAACTTGCGCAGAGAATGACTGCCAAGCAAGGGCGTCACTTTGTGTTGAAAAGTGGTGGGGACATAAGGGCTCAGATTAGGAGCATGATGATACCGTTAGGTCACGAGACATGACAATGCATACAAGTTCAAGTTTATTTATATAGCACATTTAAAAACAAAACTAGTTGACCAAAGTGCTTTCCACAATAGACAACAAATATACATGACAAAAGTAGAAAAAGTAAAAAATAAAATAAATGTCACTACTCAACTCTGTTTGAAGGCCAATGAATAAAGATAGGTCTTTAGCAAGGATTTGAAAGTGTCAGGAGTCGGGGCATTTCTTATTTGAACAGGTAAAGTATTCCAAAGATTAGGAGCAGCTACTGAGCAGGCTCGGCCACCTTTAGTTTTTAACCTGGATCTGGGGACATCACGGAGCATCTGATTGGATGACCTCAGTGCTTTGACTGGAGTGTGTACATGTAAAAGTTCTGATTAATAAGAAGGTGCCAACAAGCAATAAAATCTTAAAATCAATCCTAAAGCGGACAGGAAGCCAGTGGAGCGAGGCTAAAACAGGGGTAATGTGCTCATGCTTTTTAGTTCCTGTTAGACGTCGGGCTGCTGCATTCTGAACTAACTGTAACCGATAGAGAGATGACTGATCCACTCCAACATACAAAGAGTTACAGTAGTCGGGACGAGACGAGACGTTATAAATGCATGGATTACTCTTTCAAAGTCTTTGCGTGGTAGGTAGGGCTTGACTTTGGCCAACAGTCTCAGCTGAAAGAAACTGGCTTTTACTACAGAACTAATCTGTTTTTCAAACTTAAAAGCACTGTCAAAGATCACCTAGATTCTTGGTAAATGGACGACTATATGTTCCTAAAGTACCAAGAACATCTATACAAGCACTTAAATCCCCAGGTCGACTGAACATAACAACCTCAGTCTTACTGTCATTCAGACAGAGAAAGTTCTAATCAACCATATTTTAAGATCTCTCAGGCAGTTGAGCAAGGACTGAGTTGCAGCTCTGTCGTTAGATTTTACAGGTAATAGAGAACAAGACTAGAAGATTTTTAACTATTTTGAAGAAATGTGAAATGCTGAAAAATATGAAATGCTGAAAGATATGTGCGTCTGGGAGTCCTCCCCCAGAATATTTTGAGCATTAAACACTTAATTTTCTGCATTCTGGAGAAATGTTCTGCTCCAATATATGGTGGAAATGTCTTTATATATATAAAGAGCAACAAAAAATTTAGCTGGAAGAAGACAATTCATAAATATAAAAATATAACAGAATATAATGCAGTAATCAGCTGCTTGTTTTTTTTTTTTGTTTACCTTAAGTTACTTTTTTGGATAATGCACATTTGTTTCTTCTATATTTAAATTTCATTGCATGTTTTCTTATTGTGCAAATAAAGCATTTTTATTTGTTAGTTTCTTGTCACAAGCTATTTTTCAGAACATCTTTAACAAATTCATTCAAAAAGTGATGGGGACAAAATCAGCCATTTCAAACTGTGGTGGGGACATGTCCCCAGCATCCCCAATGTAAATGACACCTATGCTGCCAAGCAACTGTGTTCTTGTTACTTGGTAGGTGAGGGCAGATCCAGGTCACAGGCCATGGAAGCCCCAATTGTCCAAAAGTCAGTGCTTTGCAACACATTTTCCAACGAAGGTTAAAATCAAGGGCAACTGGACTTGGTTGAAGATACTGGAAGACGTTTCCTCCCTCATCCAAAGGACTTCTTCAGTTCTGACTGACTGGCAGGGAAACTCAGCTATTTCACCTCAGTGGGGTCGTTGGCCCGGGTCATCGATACCGCTGGTTCGTTAGTGTTCCTTGTTGCTGTGACGACAGTCGTTACAGTCGTTAAGACTACCTGTGGCCAAGACTGAACGACCATCGTTGGTATCTTCACCTGAGGCCAATAGGTTACGTTTGTTGATTTTCCTGGGAAGTGATGAAAGGACAGCATTGTAAGTGGGGGATAAGTGGTGGCGTAGACCCCCTCCCCTGTTCAATGACGGCTTCTCAACCCTGGTGTAGATGGCTTCCTTGACACCTCTTTCAAACCATCCATCTTCTCTGTCTAAAATGTGCACCCTGGCCAACGACCCCACTGAGGTTGTACACATCCAGGTTGTGGATAGTGCATATGCAGTGGAGGGATACATTTAGCCAGAGTCAGGATGCCGTTGTGCCAATTTACTGTGTGTTTACTGTGTGTGCGGTCCACTCCCCATCTCCCCAGAGTTCTTTTAAGTCACGTGATTGGCTATAACTTGAAACTGAAACTTAAAACTGATAAAAGAAAGTGAAAGCAGGAGGAGAACCAATAAAAACAGTTGTCCCTCTCAACATTACACAATCACTCTGTCCAGAGCCACATAAACAAAGGTAAGAATTTTCTATTATGTCTGTCCTTAGAAATGAAAATGCTATTGTGATGCCAAAATGCTGTTTGTTTATATGGTGTAATGACTAGTGTGTTCAATGAATAAAACCAAATAATTTCAGTTAAAAAGTAAATCCTCTAAAGAATGTAAATTCTCATGTGCTTTTGTTATTATTCTACTCTGAAAGATGTAGCCTAAATGTTCTGTGGAGCTAACACCATAAAATTAAAAGAAATTAAACCTTATTTCTTCCAAGAAACTGTTTTTATACAGTTGAGTCTTCACATGCCAGTCGGTGATGTTTCCAGTCAGCTTTCTACTGATATTTTATACCTCAGTAAAAGTTGACAAGAATTTGGCACAGGAAATTTGCCTAAAGTTTTCTTAAGAAATACAACTATTTCTGAGCTTTCTTCACCAGCATGGAGATGTGAGATGTCAACTTCTCTGTGATGCTGAATTCCAGGAACCTAAAAATGTTCATCTACGCCATCTTAGTTCCACTAATGTGGACAGGAGTGTGTGTTTTTATCTTTTTCCTAAAATCAGCTCCTGTGTTTTGCTGACGCTGAGTAGTAGTTCTCTGTGCAACACTCAGCCAGACTATGTCAGGTTTCTGGCTTGAACCCAAAGCAGATGCAGCAGGATAGTTTTAAGAGATGTATTTGAACTATGAACAGAATGAAAGTGAGTGGGGCAAAGGTGGGAAATTAAAGTCCTGGGTCTGAGCATGCTAGGCAGTCCAGTGGTTTCAAATCTGAGAGGTTGAGAGCTTTCTGGCAGGTTGAGTTTATGGTACAGGTTCTGCAGTTTTTTCTGCTAAGGATACTGACAATGGCCAGTCCTCTGGAGGTGGAGTAGACTTTACAGCTGACTCTTTGTTGAGGAGATCAAAGCGAGCATAAAAGGTGTTAAGCTCATCTGGCAATGTGGCCTCACACACTGCTGATGCAGATGTTTTTGACCGCCTGCCACATATCTTTGGTTTTGTCAGTGCTGAGGTCTTCTTCCAGTCTGTGCTAGTGTCCTGGACAGAGCTGTCACTTTTCTCCACTCATCTAGACTTTCGGGTTGGGGATTGATTTTATTATCTTAGTGATCATCACATCATCAACACATTTGCAGATGTATGTCAGTGATTATGTATATTATACCAGTCTGTACATTCAAAACAGTATACTCCTCGATTCCACTGAAAAAGATGCAAAATCTGTTTTGTCTTAATTTTGGTCTTGGAAAAATACATAAAGAAGATACAATTTCACTGTTGCATCATCAGTTGTACAACTGATATTAAAATATGCAAAGGTATTATGTTGTCATTGCAAGCTTACAATGTAATAATACAGTATATTTGCAATATACTTCATTAATTTGATCATGGGAAATGATCTTATTATATTTTGCAATAGTTGTTCAACATAAACTTTTAAGGACAGGTTAAAGATTGACAATTAGATAAGATATTCCAATTCTGTTGACATTTGATATTAGAGTAGGCAAAATATGTGGTGGAAAGTCACCAAGTCTCAGAGATAAATACCATACTTTTTAGTCCACTACATTTATCTGACAGCTATAGATACTTTAACTTTAAAATTAAGATTTTACACAAAAAATTAGCTAGCTCCAACATCAACAATGCTAAAAAGTTTATTTTAATCTTATGTCATATAAATAAATATCAGTGATGTGCCCTTTTTTTCATAACAAATACTTTCACTTTTGACTGCAGTCACATTCACAGAAATATCTAATAATATGCACTGTCTTTGCCACTTTAAACTGAATAAATAAAATGCTTTATGTGGTTTTTGCTGATCTTTGAGATTATTTTGATGATTGCAGAACTTGTACTTCTTATGGGATATTTTGCATCATTGTATTGGTACATTTACTAAGCAAATGATCTTACTAATAATTCCACCACTGTAAATTCATGCATATTTACATGCAATTTCTTACTTCACAGCTATGGGAGGAGGTATGTCTTGACCTGTCAAACTTTCACCTTCTTGTAAAATGTCCTAAATATCTCAAAAGTCATTAACATTTTAACAATACTAACATTCACAGAAATAATGCATAATGTTGAAATACAGCTTTGTCTCACTGTATGACCACATTTGTAATCCACAGCACTTTTTAGTAAGCCATGGAGGACCATGCCGCAGTGAGTATGAGTAAACATAAAGTCAGTGTGGTTGAGCCCTTGGTCTGTGCTTCTTAACACATAACTCAAATGTTTTGTTGTTGTGTTAGCTGGTTGGTGTGTGTGGCGACAGAGCATCAATAACAATGTACTTATTGTGCATACAACAATCAAATTCAAACAGTATTTTGTGTTTAATGTTTTTTCTTCAATAAACAGAAACAAGCAGGAAAATCTCGATTTTGTGAAATCTTACCAACCTCGAAACAAAGAAGTCGAACATCTCAGAATTCTGCTTCATGGACCAGTTGGTGCTGGCAAGTCCAGTTTCATCAACTCTGTTGAAAGTGTTTTACGAGGCAGAGTTACTGGTCGGGCTTTGACAGATGCAATCTCTGGGAACAGCTTTACCAAAAAAGTATGAATAACTGTTGATTCTGGTGTGAGTACAATAGCATCTATGATTGCTGGTGTAACAATTGCGTATTTATCATGGATTTGCTAAATTTATGCTAATAATTACACATTCTGCTTTATAGTACACAACTTACAAAATCCACAAAGATCCAGAGAATATTTACTCATTCATTTTCAATGACATCATGGGCTTTGAGAAAGACGACACAGAGAAAGCAAAAGAGAAAGACACCAAGGGGGGAGTGGAAGTGGAAGACGTCAAACTGGCCTTGAGCGGACATGTGACAGAAGGTTACAAGGTGCAATCTTTGCAACTCTGATAGTTTTTAAAGGGGCCGTGTGGAGTTTTCTTGCAAACAAACTGGTACTCAGCTACACCCATTTTGTTAAATAATGTGATGAATTCATTCCTTCCTCATAAAACAATGTCAATTTCTCATAAAAGTTTGAATCCTGCATTGTTTACACCAGTGCTGCTGCAGCAAGCAGTCTTCTTCTTTCCTGACATGCATTGCTGCGTTTCTAGTGCATTACCACCACCTGTATATCTGTGAAATAGTGTGAAACCACTGGCACAAATGTGTATCTTGTTACATGAGCATGCATGTGCATTCTTGTATGCACGAGACAATCACAATGGGGTCCCGTAAACAGGGAAAATGCGCAATAAAAACTCTGCAGGGTAACTTTAAAACATATTTTTATTACTTTGCATTAAACATGTTTTCACTGAAATTGTTTAGAAAATAACATTGACTGTATTACTGTTTTCTAGTTCATTCCTAAACATAAATTGAATCAGGGTGATCAAGGTTACAACTCATCTCCCACTCTGGATGACAGAGTTCACGTTCTGGTTTGTGTCATTCCTGCCAGCTCATTATCTATATTAAGTGATGAAGTTTTGAAGAAGATGAGAGAAGTCAGACTAGCAGCCAGTGAAATGGGTAAGAGCTGACAACACAATAGTTATTACTCTGTGCGGACTAATAGTGCCATATTGGGTTTTATGAATTTAAATACCAGCAAAGAAAATGCTTAAAAAACTGATCAGGTTTCCATCTTGACAGGGATTCCCCAACTGGCTATTCTCACCAAAGTTGATGAAGCCTGCCCAGAGGTTAAAAAAAATATAAATAATGTCTATAAGAGCAAGTACCTGAAGGAACAGGTATGATTCTATTAGTCTAGTGTTTTTTAGATTTGTAATTTTTATTTATTTGTAAGTTCAGTTTTCAATATATAAAATATTCTTTGGTGACCACTTCACAATTACTGATCTTTATCTGAATGCTCTTACTTTTAAACTTAGGTTGACAAATTCAAATGCAGCTGGGAATTCCAGTGAACTGCATCTTTCTTGTGAAGAACTACGATCAAGAAATTGTCACAAATGATGACATTAATTCGTTCATACTGAGTGCACTGAGACAGATGATTAGCTATGGAGAAGACTTCCTCAACAGCCTGTAGACCTACAAACTACTGAGGCAAACCTTGCATGATTAAGACATGAATAAACTGAGATTCAAACAATAATCTTCTTGATAATTTTTAGTAACTTTCAGTATTGTGTAATTCATATAGTATGTACTAAAGCATGTGCTGCTTCATTACATCCTTATAATTTAGTTAGAAATGTCAATGTATCTTGTCATAAATGTCATGTATGCAAATGAGGAGGCGTTACCGGTCATAGATAATGTTGCTTTGGTTGCAATTTTAATTCAGACAATATCCGATTATGGCAAGCTAAGTTAGCTCGTGTTACAGCACCTTAGCATTAATGTTAAGTTAGCTAACTAACTTATATGAGTTAAAAGATAACAAAGCCCAATTTGGATATGTTTCTGTCTGTAAATTTTAGTAACTTTCAGTATTGTGTAATTCATATAGTATGTACTAAAGCATGTGTGGCTTCATTACATCCTTATATTTTAGTTAGAAATGTCAATGTATCTTGTCATAAATGTCATGTATGCAAATGAGAAGGCGTTACCGGTCATAGATAATGTTGCTTTGGTTGCAAGTTTAATTCAGACAATATCCGATTATGGCAAGCTAAGTTAACACGTGTTACAGCACCTTAGCATTAATGTTAAGTTAGCTAACTAACTTATATGAGTTAAAAGATAACAAAGCCCAATTTGGATATGTTTCTGTCTGTAAATATTAGTAACTTTCAGTATTGTGTAATTCATATAGTATGTACTAAAGCATGTGCGGCTTCATTACATCCTTATATTTTAGTTAGAAATGTCAATGTATCTTATTGTTATTTTACTTTGATAAACAAAGAATGAATACTCTGTATCCAACCTGGATAGACAAATAAAATGAATGTTTGGAAAATCAAAGTATGTAACTGTGTGTAAATAAATAACCTAATAACACCTATCAAAAGTAGTACAAGTTCAGGAGAAACGGTGACAGCGTCAAGCAGCCAAGGCTCATTGATACAAGTGGGGAGAGAAGGCTGTTCGGTCCGATCCAACAGACGAGTTAATGTATGTCAAATTGCTGAAAAAGTTAATGCCAGTTTTCATAGAAAGGTCCAGAAAACACAGTATATCACAGTTTGTTGTGTTGTGAGAATGAGATAAATGTGAAAAAGAAAAGGACACTGGCAGCCTCTGGTTCTGGTTATTGGGGGGTCTTCATAGAAACAGTTTAACTGCCTGACACACATACAGGGTATGCATTGATGTCACTTCCCTTCAGGAGCACGCTGGACTGAGTGGCAAAACATCTGTTACCATGGTGGCGTTTAGCAAACCATGAGTAGAACAACTGATTATTTGCTCAAATTAAAGGCAGTCGGACTTGACAGTGATCCTTTCTGCTTACCAAAGAACCAGTTGTCCAGCTCTTTCCCATTTTAGATGTGTTGTTTGTGTTTTAGCTGATTCAAGCTAACACTGCTGCTCGTCTTTCTGCCACTCAGTAAGCGTAACTGCGTACTGTGACGTCACGCGCATACCCTCTATACGAGCCATAGTAAAATGATTGGACTTTGATAATTGTTAACTGCTCACTTTACAAAAGTACAACCTTTTAAGTAAGAAAGATGTTTAATTTGAGATACTGTCTTTATTTCTTTAATAATTCCTATATCTCTACATCTCTTGTGCCTGCCCTTATCGTTGCCTTAAGAGACCTTTGTCTGTGTATGGTTAGACATGTCTCAAAATAATGCTAGTTTCCAGTAAAGAGGAAGCTAAGGTCCACTCTTTTCTGTAAATTAAACCAAAAGGGAAAGTGTCCCTGATGACACATTTGTATATCACACATGAGGGGAGGTGTGAAAAAAGATGTGATAAACGTTACATAATTTAAGTATAAATGTTTAGTAAACTTTAAGTCTTCTGTAAGGTCGTCTCATGTATGCATTCCCTGATGACATCAAGATAATAATTTTAATCAGGAAAGAAGGCACTATTTGCCTATACATCAGTAGCCATTGTGAAAATGAAGGTAACCTCATTTTGAGATTAAAAGAACAGAAGTAAGGTTTTCCTTTGTAAAAAAAATAGTGACAACCGGTGTTTGATGTCTTTTCTGCATTTTGGGTGTGAATTCATTTGTGTGATGCATTTAAGATGTATAAGAGAAGAAATGCTCATTCTGTCTTTTGTTTAAATTGAAACCTACTATATATCTGGTCTATATGCATTGGAAATTAGACAAGGTTACACAATCATAGTTTATTGAATCTACATGATATGTGTTATTATTTTACTTGATATTTTATTGTTAATTTGTGACTAGAGCAAAGGGTGCTGCAACTACAGGCAGGAAGTGTACGCTAAAAGGAAGGATATGGGGTGAGAATGTAAGAACCAATCAATAAGATGACTAAGTTCTGGCAGCAATTAAAGTATGTAAAAGGGGTGAGGTCTTTCCTGCCGATCATTATTTAAGTTGCTAATCCTAGAGCTGAGGAAATAATTAAGAAGAAGGGGCGAAAGAGAAGAAAAAGGGGGAAGTTTTGGGAGCTTCAGCTTTAGCATTTTTTTTAAATAAACAAGTTTCTCTTTGGGTGAACACCT